TAAAAAAAAATGTACGAATAAATGTTAAGTCATTTTATAAACAATATTTTTAACAGTATAATTTGTATTACTATAATGACCAGAAGTTTTTAATTTCATTTTAGTTTGTGGTTGGTTGTAACTAGTTTTTGATAAAGCAAGAGCAGCCGCAGCATGTTGAGCTTTTTTAATACTCATTGCATCTGCATTATACTCTTCATTTCCTAACTGCAAAGTAACAGTAAATTTTTTTTTATGTGGTGGTCCTTGTTCATTAGTTAGCTTGTATTGATGCTTGATCTGTTAAGAATTCAAATAAATATATAAGTAATTTATACTATCAAACAAAAAGTGAATGCACTTTTAAAATAAACAACTAATCGGTACCTTATTAAATCTTGCTAACTCATTTACAAGGCACATAGGGGTTTTGTCTTTATCTATGGATGTACTATTTTCTGCTGAATAATCATTTTGTAACAAAGAATTCAATTGTGAATATGAATTTCTATCTGAATTTAGTATACTAGCCATCAGATAGCCTGTAAAATTACACTATGGTTATTAGTTATACAACATAAATAATTTAGATAGTACACCCAAAMWTGAATACGTAAATTAACATTTAAAAATTCAATATTACATTTTTATAATATAAAAGTAATTGATATTAGAATTACCTATCACAAATATTTTTAAATACAATTTAAACATGGACTATTATAGAAAAATAAACATATTATATTTACATTACCCCTTAATTTGAATTTTTTTTATTATTTWGTCTACATACTAAATAAAAGTAAAGGTTCGTCATTTTTTAATTGTTTTTACTTTTTTCACATACTTATTATAAGTACTACTTTTACTTTAAATATCAGTATTTTGTTTTATGAAATCAGTGGAATCCCGTTATATTGAAGTCACGAGGAAACAAGATAAAATATTTGACATAATGAACTTCAAATTKCCAAGGTTATTGAAAATATCTAAATTAATTATAGGGAAAGAAAAAATTTCTATACACATAAACCAATGAGATMCCAACGTTTTACTGTATATAATATGTTTTTACTTTTTTGCWAATACTATTTGATAATAAATAAAATATCAATTTATTAGTAATCTATAATATTCAACAGTGAGTCTAGCTATAGACTATTAGCTTTATCATTAAAGTTGATTAAAGAAAAGCAATAAAATACAAAAATATGTCAACRATAAATAATTAATTGTTAGTGATGTTATACCAATAAATATAATTCAAGCAGAAAAGCAACATAATATATTATATACACAATATTATTTATGTTTTTTATATCTCTAATAGATAACATTTTTCTTTTTATTTCCATGACAGTGCATTTTGCATTTTGTTTACTTTAAATTAAAACAACCAATCAAATTTAAAAGACAGAATTTATATTTATATTTTGATGACATCATGTTGGATATTATGATCTAATACTTACATGTATTTTTATTTTTTTWWAATATTTTAACTTGAAAACAAGGTTTTACAATCTTAAAAAATTATTTTTTTGTATTAACTTTTGTTTAGAATGAGTTAAAGCTCTATAAGTTTTGTTATTTGAATTTGACAGTTGGTGATTTTTCCCTAAATTTTATATATGATGGAAATATAAAATAAGGGTTTTAGGAGAGAACAATAACCAAAACAGTACATTTTGTTACATCATCCTCATAAATACAACACTTGTTGATTTAATAATGTTTATTCATAATCATAACACTCACCTTAATCTATTTTTTAMACAACTACAGATATATCAATTATATCGCAAAAAAATATTGAAAGTTCAAAAACAAAATCATAATAAACTATGTACTATCCAATATTCACTCAATCTGGGTTGAATAGAATCAAATTTTTTAGATGGAATTAAACCAGATTAATAACCATCCATTCTGAATCAACAATTTTAGTCTATTCAGATCGTTCGACAGTTTGTATCAATTATAAATCAGATTATTATTTAGAAAACCTAAATGTGGTGGTATTATAAAATACCTAGCACTTATACATAAGACACAGTTCTAGAAGCATTAGACTGTAATATAGTAAAATTGTATTCAAAATAATCAAAATGCATATAGAGGTCTCTACACTAAAATACCTAGACCAACTTCGCATATTAGTTAAAGATTAATATCATAATTAAATAATGAACCACAGTATAATTAAATTGAATTTATTATTAGACTGACTATTGTAATGATGAATTTTATAAAACTGTAATGTTAGAAAATTATTATAACCAAGTCAAAATGATGTATTAGGACATACGGAATACAGATATGGACGAATACTGAATATTTACTATATAGATAAGAAAATAGATATCTATAATAATTGTCAATTTAAACAAATCAATGAAAAAATTAAAAATAATCACCACTAATAGGTACAAATTAATATTCTTCAATTTTATCAAATAATTAATTAAGAAACATTTAACATTTTAGAGATAGAGAAATAGCTTATTTTTAATAAAATAGATAGGTACTACTATTTTATTAAAAACAAGCTAATGTCAAAATACCAAACAATTTCATTACCTATACGATTAACTGAAACAATAGCTTAAAATTAGGTAGGTATATTCACAATAAATAAAGTTTCTTTAAATAATATTAAATATAAAATACGTTTTATGATGTATTTTATGCAATAAATGTTACATGTTTACATTAATAGGAAGCTGTACCCAAATGTGTTATCTCCGTCCTACATGTTCGTAAAATAGCAAATTGTACGCTAGGCAGATCAATTTAGCTACATTAGTTCAAAATTTAGAGTGAATTGACCTCTTATAAAAATTAAAGATAACAATATTATCTAGGGCTTCTCATAATCTTTTTATTATATTTTAATTTTAAATCGAGTTATGAGTATTTTAAGATATACAAACAATTTACAATTATAAAATACTCATCTCACTTTAAAATTAAAATATGATAAAAAAACCTATGAGAAGCCCTAGATAACAATAATATTACCTTTAATTTTATAATCAATTTAAATCACTCAACATTTTAAACTAATGGAGCTAAATATGATCTGCTGAGTGTAAAATTTGCTATGTTACACACTTTTAAGACAGGTGACAACACAATATGCAGGTAAAACATTTTCAATTATTAAATGGTTCTTTCAAACCTAATACCCAATTGGTTTTTATACATATTTGCCCAAAATGGTTAAACTCTTATATGTTTAGAATAAATCAAGCATAAGCATTATAGCACCCAAATGTCTCAGATGGGAATGGTGAAGTTTATAAAATATATGYTTGATGAACTGACCAGATCACAAAAAACAAAATAACTAATCTCTGTCCAGCGAGAGAACGCACMTATTCTGTGCATCTCTCTGTGTCACTCATCTATTTAAACCGGTTCCCATATGGGGACAAGCGGAAGAGCAAATACTGACCAGCCAGCGGTGAGTTCTTTTGCTGAACTGAGTGTATGTAGGTTCTTAACCAATGATCAGATATATATTTTAAAACTAGTGTACAACAATTAAGATGTAAATCAATTGAAGAATATTTAAAATAAAAACAAATGAATTTCCCAGCAGTACATTTTAAACCACAAAATACAAGTCAATTTTTTTGATATTGAACCATTCACTATTTTTAAATATTTAATGAATTTTAGAAAAATTATAGATAAATTTTTGTTTTACACGAGRTACCTACAACTATAAACCATGAAGATAATAATATGAACAACAATAAATCCTCTTAAAAGGGGACACCTCCAAATAGCGGACGACTTTTATGCGACTGAGAGTGTCCGGTATTTAGAGGTTTCACTGTATTTGGAAATCAAAAAAAAAATTAAGAGTTATTAAATCATAAATACTGTAAAATATAACCCAAAGAATGGTCCAATAAAAAAAAAAAAGAGATAACATAAAATATACAAGCAATATAGAACACACAAATGTTCAACTGAAAAATAACATCCCGCAATTTCAAATGCCATTTAGCTCAGCAGACACAAATAGAAGAACCAAGAATGGTCATAGAAAATTACCTTCAACGCAGTATGACAAACCAAAAATATCTGTAAGCTCTTCTAAATCAATAAAGTCTTTGTACACTGATCCGCTAGAGCTAGCAACCAGTAGGACATGAATAATCACTACTAACCGTTTCATCGTCTTGTCACTAACACGGTGGCATGTAATCCGCTTAGCCTACACAGAGAAAAACGCATAACACTTGTCGTTACAATCAGTGGCGTACACAGAAATATCTAATGGACACGATGTATATAATATATATTATTGTACTATAAAATATTTTCAGGGTGAAAAAAAAAGGCAAGGGTTTAAACACCCAAAACACTCATTAAGTGTACGCTACTGGTTACAATAGTTATAGGTCTTTGGGTGTCGGGGTTTGGTTGATGTCTAAAAAAAAAATGAAAATGTTCGTCTCGTTTGATATAAACACTCCGTATGGCTAGGACCTATAACGCGCGGTAAGTAGCACACGACGAGGCGCTGCCCTACTTCGTGTCCGTTGTTTATCCAGCAACGCGACTCCGGGTATTGGCGAGGCGCGCCCAATAACGGTTTTCACACTTACTTACAACAGACGTCGATGTCGATCGCAAAGGGTCGAGACAGACTCAAACGTACACGGTCGATGTCCGGACGAAATTTAACCGAATGACAAACCCGCAACAGATTATTGGCGACAACGGAAGACGGACCAGAGCAGCTGTACGTCAGTATGCGTCTGACGAGAGTCGTAGATTAAGTGGCGGGTACTGAGCAGTAACTGACAACATGTATATAGTGAGCYGTGAGTAGTTGTTGTAGTGCAGTACTCGATTTTGCAGCGGAACCGTGTAGGCGTTCGTTAACGATAGATAAGAAAGAAATATCAACATTAAATCACTTACCACGACCTTGTTACAAAAAGGTTACAGCGGTCAATACAATATTTATCAGTACTTATCATTGTCGGCTGAATTTCAAAATAAAACAAAAAACATTTATAGTTTATACTGTTTATAGTTTATACCTACCTACGATTAGACTATAACATATAATTTCGTAAAAGTAACGACACTTATGACACTATATCGAATGTATACAACACGTTTTAGGTATAGGAAATTCAAAAACCGTTAAGTGGCGTTTAGAGATTCAGTCTTTTTTCCTAGTTACAATATTGTGTCGTGACCGAGTATCAAGTTCACTATTTTGTTTTAATCTAGGCTCTAAGCCTACCTATTTGAACATTATCAAAATGTTGCCTTAGCAACAGTTATTGAGTTATGTCCTATTTGCCTAAACATTKATCAAACTATTTATTTTTTCTTTACTTCTTTTCCGCAAGTGATAAAATCGTATTTCGTGTAACTAATAAAATGTTCAAAAATACATTCCAAAGCGGATTTTTGTCTATACTCTACAGCATTGGCAGCAAGCCTTTGCAGCTCTGGGATAAAACTGTTAGAAATGGACATATAAAACGCATTACTGACAATGATATCCAATCATTGGTATTGGACATTGTAGGCACAAATATCAGTACGACATACATTACATGCCCTGCCGAAAAAACCAAAACTCTTGGTATCAAATTACCATACTTGATTATGATCGTCAAAAACATGAAGAAATATTTCACTTTTGAAGTGCAGGTGGGAAAGAAAGTTATAATTCAAATTGTATTGTATTTCTATAGTAATATATTATTCTTTTAGATTCTTGACGATAAGAACATCAGACGCAGATTTCGAGCCAGTAATTATCAATCAACAACTAGAGTTAAACCATTCATTTGTACAATGCCTATGCGTCTGGACGAAGGTTGGAACCAGATACAATTTAATCTAGCAGATTTCACTAGACGAGCTTACGGAACTGGATATGTAGAAACATTGAGAGTGCAGTTGCATGCCAATTGCAGAGTCAGAAGAGTTTATTTTAGTGATAGATTATATTCTGAAGACGAATTACCCGCTGAATTTAAATTATTTTTACCTGTTCAAAGTAAAGTAAGTTATTGATTCTAACATTGATAGTATATAAAGGCTAAATCAGATTTAAATTTTTTAAATATAGTTTTGAAAATGACTTTTATAGATTTAAATGAAACCTTGGGTATTTTTACTTTATAATGTTCAACAGATTATGTAAATATTTACTGCTGGTCAGTTTTTCATAGCCAGTAATAATTTTCTTATGAAACTAATAAGCCATATATTATTTGCATATTAGTAATGGACATTTTTCTAAAAATGCAACCAATTGTTTCAATTAGTGACTAGTACAAAATAATAAAAATTAAGATTGTTCAGTGCTTAGTTGACAAGTATACATATAGCCGTCCTTCTGTTAAGATGGGTATTGCAATTATACCTAGCATTGAGGGTTTATTTGAGCTAAAATTTAACCCCATATTACATACCATTGACTTCAAAGCATAATTTATAATAAATGATTGAGTATTTGAAAATCTACTAAACATTTGATCCTAATAAGATATAAACTATATAGTTATAAACAATAAATTATAATAATATTATATTATAGTTTAAAACACTGATAATATGGAAGAATAAATATTGGCCAATTCATATAAAGAGTAAAATTAACAATAATTATTTTAACAACTTAGCATTCTAGTCTAAAAWTTTTTTTCCATGCTTAAAAAGTATAAATACTTTATTAAAATTTTAAAGTGTCAGAATATTGGTTATAGGCAACATACGTAAAACAAAAAAATATGAATTAGTGTCCAATACACTACAATAAAGTGAATATATTTACTGAAAATAGCTTAATGAAATAATAGTGCTTTACTTACATATTTTTTAATAATATTTAATCTATATTTACTTTTTAATTTCTGAAAATACAWTTTAACCATATAAAAAAAAAAATTTATAAAAGAAAATGTTATTTAACTTCTTAACAATATTAGCTTACATACATTTCAATAAGKAAATGAATATAAATAATAAAGCTATTTAATTTTCAGATGTTTCAGTAATTTCCTCCCTTGGTTCACTCTCTGTCTTTGGCGTTTTTTCCACTTCATTATTTTCTTTTACTTGGTTGTTTTCCTCTTCCTTTTTAATTTTAGGCGAAGAACTTTTTTCAATGTCACCTTAAAACAATAAATTAATATTTTATTTATTTATTTCTTAATACTATTTAATTATTTATGATACTAGATGTCTAGACACAACATTTGATAGTTGTTCAGTCAACATGTTATATTCAATATCATGTTGAAAAAACCCAAACTATTCAAACCTTCTAAATTTATATTATTTATTTATTGAAGTTTAAATATAACTACATTATTTCCTATAAAATTGGATTTCTTATGGTATTCCTCTTAAAAAGAAATTATTTTTTATGATATTTATATGTAAAATTGTTTACCATTTTCACCTTCTACTGTTCTTTTTTCAGGTCGACCACAGACAGAGAGTAGATTAAATTTGCAGAAGCGACCATAATCTCTAACTACTGACAAACAGCAAACAGACTTAACCACCTCAACAATAATAGTCATTTTAGCTCCACCAGATAAATCCACAGTATGCTGTCCAAAACTAACCACTTGATTGGCCAATTCTTCAATTACCTTATCACGTGGCACTGAATTGTTGTACCTGTGACTATAATATACACATTCAGATTTTTTATAAATTAATCATTATTCAACATTTTTGTGGGAAAATTTATTTAAATATAAATATTTTTTTTACTTGAACATAATTGCAAATGTTGTTGGTTCTGTAGAAAAATATTTAGGTAATAAACTGGTACAGGCTGATGCTATGGATGTTATGTTAGCCTATGAACACAAGTTAAGAAATAACAATGTTATAGTATACGATAACAAAATAAGCTTGGTTTTATATTACTTTACAAGTAACCAAAATTGGAAGCATGCGCAAAAGAAATTTTGTCTTTTGTACTTTTGTTCTTTCTATGTCTTCGAGTATTTTATACATAAGGTCACACGGATCTTCAAACTAACATTAAATTTGCAATAATTTGTAATAGGTTATTAGAATATTGGTTTAGATGGTTAAATTTAACACAACAATATAAGTAACTTACTGTGGTGCTGATGAAAAGACAGTTTCCTACACCTGTAGCTGACGGTGTGAACTTTTTCCAATCAGCATTATCTTTTTTGGACAAGCTTTCCAATTCGGCATCTAATGAGTCCATTATTTCTCCAGATTCCTCTACAGTACTAATTGTATCTTTGGATGAAATCTAAATYAAAATCAATTTAAGAAATTTCATGATTCTTATCAAAAATARTGCATGATTAATTGTARTAGACATTTGCAGACTCCATTTATAGGATATACTTTGCGATATAAAATATAAAAAATTAAACCTACAAACTAAAGTAAATTAGGTTTATGTATTTAAAAAATATTTATTGACTAAGCTTATTAGACTTTTTATATGAATCAAGATAATGAAGTTTTTAATTTACTTATATTTTCATTAATATACATTCCTGKGGTTATTCTTTGAAAAATATCTTATAAATATTGAGTTGATACACATTTGAGAATCTGTGATTTTCAAATTTTATACTAATAGTGATTTCCTAGTTGATCATTATTACCACGCCTTATGYGGTAGTATACATATATATTGCCATATTATGCTGGCCGTATATGAATAGTTTTTTAATTATTAACTTTACTATGGTGCTACCAACAAAGTATTAATTTAAAAACTTGTTGAATAAATAAATGTTTCATTTAATATATTTATAGGTTAAATAATATGTACAAATTAGGTATAACATGGAAGAATATGTTTGAAGTGTCAATAATACATATCGTGTGACTATTGACAGTCAATATGTTAAGACTGGAACGCATAAAACCCTGGAATATAGAAATCTGGACTATGATATATCCCAAATATCTTCCTGTCACCTACTTATTGCATAGCAAGTTGAAATTTTTTTTTTGTCCAGACGCAGCGTAGCAAGCAAATGTCCCCACAGGCATCCAAAGGGCTGTCCAAATGTGTATGGTCTAAATTTCTATATTCCAGGTTTATACATTCCCGTTAAGACGAAGTATACATTAACATCTTATAGGTGCATATCTATATATTCAATGAATATTAGAGCATAGTATTGGATTAACCAAACATACAAAAAGATTTTTAAATTAATCATCAGACAAGTTTTAACAATATTGTATTTGATGTTAATATAAAACATATTTGATGACAAAATCACACCTCAATATTAAGATTATTTTTATCAATAAACTAAAATATCAGTAATTCAACAAAAATTTTAAAATTAAAGTTGGATCATCTTCGAGTTAATAAAATATAATTTGAAAATAAGCACAAAAAATGATTTGTATATGAATAAGCAAGGCTAATTTAATCTGTATTACTACCTTAAATTTAAGGAATTATAATCGAAGGGAGACAAATTAATGATATTGTTAATTGTTTATAATAAAAAAAATACCAACAGATTTAAAAATATATATATAATGAATAGTTAATACTGTTCATATTTTGAAATTGGGAGTACATCTATAGAAATATTATTAAAGTACAACATATAATAAGCAGACAAGTATTTATATTTTTAAAAAACATTCAATTTGTTTACATATTTTTTTAGAATTATCTATTTTTACTGAATTTAATAAGCTGAAATCTAAATTTTTAATACAATCACATAAGTTTTCACAAGTTGTGTAATATAATCGTTTTTCTTCAAATAATTTCTTTGCCAATTCATATTGATGGTTGTTCATTAACTTTTCATTGACTACCACTAACAACGGTTTACCATAGTCTAATGCTTGCATTATGGAACCAGCTCCTCCATGACTTATTACTAGATCACTATTAATCATATCAGGGCCAACATCTGGCTTAAATGTATAACTTGAGATGTCCATTATATCAGAAGGTTTATGAATATATGTACCATTTCCTACTTGAAGTGTCATTGATGTATAGCCATTATGTTTCAGAGCTTTGAGAGTATGATGGTCAGTGACCGAATCGATTAGTTCGTTAAATTTAGTGGTACCGACAGTGACAAATACTGATTTAGCAGACATCTCGTTGTTTCCAGATGGTAAATAAAATGTCACAAAGTAATAAACAGTAGAAAACTTGGACTTGTTGTATATTTAAAATAATGAATATTTCAATTTGATGTAAAGTTATATTATAGGTATACAAKATTTTAATGTTTTATTGACGACGACACTCCATTAGTTTAAAAATTATTATGAATTTACAATTGAAGAGTAAACCGTAAACAGTGTAAACTGAATTTATAATTCATTTATACAAAAACGCTTTAAGTACTTATAAATTATAATTTACTAATTTACTTAATTTAGTATGAAACTATGAACCACGATTTAAGATATTATTATCATAGATAATTATGTATTATCTATGGATATAATTGTCGTGGTATTTACTATCAACACTGAGATAGATAATAATATATTCTTATTAATATATTCTTATCTATCTCAGTGACTATCAACTAAAAGTGATAATACTACATTATGATCAATCACCGAGATAGATAATATTATATAATTATACAAAATAATATAATATATGTTTATAAATATTAAATTTATATTATATATAATATATATAGTGACATAGAATCATGGACAATCAGTGCCGTATTTACTATTTACCAGCAAACACTATAAGATAGTGCTTAGGGCGCAAATAATTTTTAATATTACATTTTTACTAAAATAAATGCAACTAATTATAAAATGTTTTTAGACCAACGGGATTGTGCCGATTGTGGTAATATTTATATTTTATGTTTTTCAATTTCATAATCGTAGAGTTTATCGCTCTATTATATTATATTATATGTATGGCAATAACTAATTGTTCAGCCGAGAGGTCTTTTTCTACGTTAAAACGTGTAAAAAATTATTTGAGAGCAAGTATGGAAGGAGATAAACTAACTTCATTTGAGTTTATTGGCAATTGAAACTGAACTAGTGAACAAAGTGGACTTCGATACCATAATAGATGATTTTGCGACTCAGAAGTCGCGCAGAAAGACGATGAGTACTAGACATTAACTATTTAATTTTGAATATAATAATTAACTATTTAAGTATTTATTACTACCATGTTTTTTATCATRTTTTATATAATATTTTTTATAATTAATTTTTTTATATGAATGTATATGTATGCATTTTTATAACAACTGTATATTTTTATTTTTCATCATTAAAATTTTAAGTTATAAAGAAAAAWTCAATAATTGTATGATTTAGTAACATTTTTTAGACTAGAAAAATATTTATATTAAAAGGCGGAAATTTATTTTGTGCTTAAGGCGGCACAATGGTTAAATCCGGCACTGTGGAYAATAGKTAATTTTATTGTGATTTGGAGAAAGTGTTCGAAAACGTATTTTGATCAAATGTGGTCACATAGACCTATTAAGTATGCGTTAGTCAATACTTTGTAACAGAAGATTTAATCAAAATCTGAATTGAATTTAGTTATATTTCAATGATAAAAATAATTTGAGTACTTCGTTGGTTTATCATTTCTAAAAATAAACTAAAATAATTTTAATCCGTTTTAAAATTATTTTAKTTTATTATGTAGTACACCACATAATAAATATTAAATAGTAAGATGAAGTAGAGCCACTACTTTTTTTAATGTTAAATGTTTTTAAAAA